TTTTTTAAATGTTTATTCATTTTGGAGAGAGAAAGAGAGCTTGAGCAGGGGAAGGGCAGAGAGAGGGAGATAAAGAATTAGAAGCAGGCTCTGGTCTCTGAGCAGTCCGCACAGAGCCCAACGTGGGGCTCAGATCCATGAGCTGCAAGATCATGACCTGAACTGAAGTTGGATGCTTAACTGTCTGAGCTACCCAGGTGCCCCAGGTTGTGTCTTTTTAAAAAATCCATTGAGGGGGCACTTAGGTGGCTCAGATGGTTAAGCATTCCGACTTCAGCTCAGGTCATGATCTCACAGTTCATGAGTTATGATCATGTGGGTTGGAAGGGCAGAAAGCCAAGATAAACTAGGGAAAGCTGCTTAGAGGAGGTGCTACAGTAGCAGGAGAAGCAAAACATAGGTTCATTTTTCTAGGGAGTGAGTTCATCCCTTCTAGCTCTGCTTCTATGACTCTGTGATGCCAGCAGTCCTTCCAGAAAGACTGCCTGTCTCTCTTTCCTGTCCCTTGCTTTGGGATGAGGTGATGATGGCAGAGAGCTATTTGGGTAGATCAGATAGTTTCAAATGGGGGAAGAACCACTACAGTTCCTTTTTCCTAGAACAGTTTGTGGGCAAAGATATCACCCCACTTCACTTCCTCTTTCAAGATCAGACCTAAGAACAAAGAGAAAAGGTAGTGACACAGTTGGGTGGGAAAAGAGGGGTGGGAATTGTGGTGATGGTGGTATTCTAATGTGATGGTAGTGGTAGAGGCAGGAGGAGCTGAGCTAGGTAGCATGCCTTGCTGCACAGTCATAATTTGAAAGTTCCATGGTGGTCATCTATAAGCAAAAGGGAGATGGATGTCAGTAGGTAAATACTCCAGCCTCATCAACATTTGGAAGGACAGTGTTGAGACTGTTCCACAAGGTTTCTCTGAGTTGCCAGCAGAATGGAGCCCAAGTCACCCAGAGCAGTAACTGGCTCATCAACACACCTTTGTATTGGCTTTTCTCCCTTCCCTATTCTGCTTTCCCATTTTCCCCCTTCTGTTTCCTGAGATTACCTCCTAAGTAAATTACCTGAATTCCAGTCCTTGTCTTGGGTCTATCTGGGGGAGAACCCACACTAAGACAGGTGTACTCCAATCCAGTAGCTAGTCTGAGCAGGCTGCACCAGCCCTGAGGAATTGTGCCTCCACTTTCTCCATCTACAGCTGGTCTCAGCTAGCTCCCACATGGAATCCTGAGCACATTTATGTTTTGAGGGCTCTGAGTTCGATTTGGGTTATTGGGCCTCTGGGTGCCAGAAAGGCAGAATGGATTGCTGTTAGCTAAGGAAACAGAATCCCTGACTCCTGTTTCTGAGGGTAGACATGGCTTTACCCAAAGCTACCATGCACATGGAAGCCTACACTTCCTCCCCAACTTGCACTGTTTTCGTTGTATGCATACATCCTTCATCAAGAAGCAATTCAGGACTCTATGGGCAGGGTCACACCCCACCTAGAGGTCCACATGGGCTATCAGGAGGGTTCTTGTAGGAGGAAGCCCAGCAGGAGACTTTGGAATTCTCGAATGAAGGGGCTCAGGGAACACAAGAGTATGCCTCAAGCTCTCACAGAAATGGTGGGGACTCCTCTGCTGACCTAGTCCAAAGTGTCAAAGCATTGAATGGTCAACCCTTGGAAGGGTTATTCAGAGCTCTAGATAATTAAGCAGCCAAATCATTGGCCAATATGAGGAATGTGTTTCTGGAATAGTGCCCACCACTCAAGAGATGGATAGGCCTCACAAGGAGGAGAGGATGGGTAGAGGGGCTGGGCTGAGAACAACCCACATGATCTCTTTGATTTCTAGCTTCTCTTTGAAAGACTGATTTTGCCTTTATTGATCACACAGTCATTCAACAAACTTGTATTGAGCACCGGATCCAAGATGACTGGTAGCCCTTGGTCCCACAACAGTTACCATTCAGAAAGTTACTGTTCCAAAATTGGTTACTAACATTTGACTTAAAATTAGATGCCATTTATTTTCCAGAAGACAGAGGAATCTTGAAGGACTTTTGACCATGTGGGTAAGGGCAATTTTCTGAGTAATGGGTTGGGGGGGGATGAGGAAAACGCTTTAAAAGAAGTATAAGGTAGGAAGAGGACTGGAGGGAGGGGGAAGAGGAAATAGAAGGAGGGACATCCTCTGAAGCCCTAAACAGCGAAGGCTTCCCCACTCCTCCATCAAGGAACAAGGGACCATGTTAGCTGAGAAAGCTACTACTTCAAGTTCTGGATGCCTGCTGTTTTGGGGTATGCACCTAAACTGCCCAGGCCTCTCTTAATGTACCCACAATCACCCCACATGCATTTTGTCTAGGTGGGGGTGGCTGGGTATAGTGAGAGGGAAGTACAACCTTCTGTATCAGTAGGCAGATAGGATCATGAATCAGCTTGTGAATCTCCAGCTGGAGACACAAGGAGACCAAAAAAATCTGACTTCTCCAAGAGAAACAAGGAACAATCTATTATACTCTCTCTCTCCTGAGTTTCACAAGGACAAAGGACATGAAGCTAACGCCACTCCACCCTCAACCCTATAGCCTTCTTGGACTGGAGAATTTCTAACCAAGCTTTTTAAGCAAACAAATAAGACAGGTTTTCAAACATGTATCAGTGGCAGCAGGGAAAGGAAGCCACAAGAAGGGAGGAGAAAGAAAAAAGAGCTTAGCTCTTCTCACACCTGTGGAACCTTCCTGGCCTACCAGGGAATATCACCTGCCCCAACAACCATTGTTGGTGATTCTTTGCCAATCACCTGATAGGTCTTGAGAAGACATTGTTCCCATCATTAAAGGGTTCACATTCTGGTTGGGGAAGAAAATACTAGCAAATGAGTATGAATCCTAAGTGTGCCTGGGCCTGGGATGGACTTGGGTACAGGACCCAGAAAGTTTCCAAAAGAAAGTCTGTCAACAAGGTAGGGATAGGAAGACTTCATTAAAAAGTGACTATGGGGCACCTGGGTGGCTCAGTCAATTGAGCATCCAACTCTTGATTTTGGCTCAATCATGATCTCATGGTTCGTGAGTTCGAGCCCCATGTTGGGCTGTGTGCTGACAGCACTGAGTCTGCTTGGGATTCTTTCTCTCCCCCCTTTCTGTCCCTCCCCCGCTCATGCATAAACTCACTCTCTCTCTCTCTCTCACTCTCAAAATAAACTTAAAAATACATATTTTAAAAAGCAACTATTAAGCGTTCCTAGATAAGCTTGCTTTCCTAGCAGAGAACAGCAAGAATACAGGCACTAAGGGTGAAGCATCGTGGTGCTGCTCTGGAAATGCCTGGAAAATCAGGATCAAAGTACTAAGTGGGATACTTTAGAAAAAGACAGTAATATGGACAGATTTGCATATAATGAGAATTGATTTGCATGGGAATCAATAGGCGGGGAGAGAGATGAGGAGGCCCAGTTTAATCAGTGACAGGTATCAGGGCACCTGGGTGGCTCAGTTGGTTGAGCGACCGACTTCAACTCAGGTCATGATCTCACAGCTCATGAGTTCGAGCCCCACATCGGGCTCTGTACTGACAGCTCAGAGTCTGGAGCCTGCTTCAGATTCTGTGTCTCCCTCTCTGTGCCCCTCCCCAGTTCGCACTCTATCTCTGTATCTCTCTCTCTCAAAGATAAGTAAACAGTAAAAATATAAAAATTTAAGTTTAAAAAGTGACAGGTATCAGCAAACCACAGTTGAGAAGGCCATCCTGGTAACAGCTTTCATTGAGATCTAGAAGGGAAGGTAGAAGGAAAAGCCCCCTGAACTTCTTTCAGGGCAGGGAGGGATAAGTGTTGACAGGCAGCTTTAGAGGAAGAATGGGTCTCCCACATCCTTCCTTTTTCTACACCCTATGCAGCACATGCCTCCAACCATCTCTCACCTTGGAGGCCTGTAACTACTGAGTAACTTCTTGAGATGTTCACTGATGTTTTTGTCTTTACTTCCCCCTTGCCGGAGGCTTATGGTTTGCCAAAGCAGAAGGAACTTGTCTACAGGCACTTTCCACGATGACTTTTTGCTTCCCAAAATTAAGCCACTGAGTTGTTTATGGCTTAATTGAGGAAAACCTGGAAGGTAAGAGAAGGAAGGACAGCCTCAGAAGGGGACAGGGGGACTGAGCTGTACCCTCACACTCAGCTGAGGAACCTCAGAGGGGAAGGGTGTGAGGCCTCCTGCAGGCTCCCAGCATCGACAAAGATTTCTGTGGCCCAGGAGTGGCAAAGCTAAAGGGCTAAGAAAAGAAGGGTGTCTCCACAAAATATACTGCCACGGCCTGCACAGATCCGTGGAGCTGCAAAACTTGAGGCTTTGATATTACAGAAAAGGTTGAGCCCACTCCAAAACCAAGGTCAATTTCTTGACTGCCCTGTGGAATGACAGCTGGGGGCTGAGGGGACCCCAAACAAACAATGTAATGCACTCTTTCTTGCACACACTTCACTCTCTGTGCAGATTCTGGGTCTCATCTCCCACTATGGTTCCAGCATTCAGCTGACAGGACCTGCTGCAAGAGAAACGGAGGGTGGGGGCGGTGTGCGCTGTCTTTCCATCAAACTAATGGGCATTCCTGTGCCCTCGGAGACTGGCAGACTAGATGGTAGGCAGGAGGTAGCGTCCCAAGCCCTCTCTTGAAAAAAAAAGTTTATAGAACATGCAAAAATACTAAACAGATGAGAGAGTAGGTAGATCTGTCCGCGGCAAATCGGCCGGTGGAGTATCCGCCCCCACCTTCCAGTGGGCGGGGCGGGACCAGGCCGGGCCGCCAAGCGTTGCGCGTGCGCACTGCAGACTCTGAAGCCACAGCGCCCTCAGTGAGGTGGGCGGGAGCTGCCCGGGCATCCGGGTCCCTCACCCCGCCCCCGCTGCATGAATGAGAGGCGCGGTGCCCGCCCCTCCCCCGCCGGGCCCGCCCCTCGTCGGGGGCCGCTGAGCGCAGTCTACCGCCGCCACCTCAGCCGCGCTCTGTCCCGACGGACGCTCGCCGCCAGCAGTCTGCCGCCCGTCGCCCGCCTCCCGGCGCTGACCGTTCCGCACACCCGCCGCCGCAGCCGGCGCACCCGAGTAAGTGAGGGAGCGAGGGCGGAGCGCCGGGGGCCGTCGCCCCCGGGCCGGGGCTTAGGGGACCGGGCGGCTCCGGGTTCGGGATGCTGAGGAGACCACGGGCCCGCGCCAGCCTCCCCCGTTCACTCTCCGGGCGTTTCGACGAGGAGGGGTGGCACAGCGGCCCAGGCCTCGAGGGACGCGGAGGGGGTCCCCCGGGGCCGGGGGTGCGTCCCGCACAAAGGGCGGCGCGAGGCTGTCTGTCACCCGGAGGTCACAGAGGGAAGGTTCGCGGCTCCCCGCACGCCCCGCTAGCCCGTGCCCGGCGTCGGTCCCCGGGCTTGGGTGGCGGCTTGGATAAGCGGGGAGGCGAGGACGAGGATGGTGAGGACTGCTGCCTCCGCTCTGGCGATGGGAACGCGCTTTAGGGGGCGCGGCGTGGCAGTGTTTTCCTGGTCCCCACCTGCCCCTCCCCTTTCTTTGTGGCGTTGGTCTCGTGCCCGTTTGTCACTGTGCGTATGGCTGTGGGCTGGGGTGAGACCTCTTGCCTCAGCTTACCCATTAATTAAAGTCAGGTGGTGGCCCCCTGTCTGTGGGTGGGGGCGTGTGTGCTTCCATAGGCCGGAGACCCTCCTTTGTTTCTGGAGACCTAATTGTGTGTGTGTGTGTGTGTCCCTCCTCCGTGTCCCCTATGAAATGAGAGAATCAAAGATCATTAAAAAGGATCTGAAGAAAAAGAGACACTACTTCATCAGACCTCCACCCAATTCTGCCTCTGGTGTTCTTTAAACAATATTGTATGTTTCTTACTGCAAAACCAGCGTGTTTTAATTGAAAGTGAATGTTTTTATATGTTGGTTGGAAATTAATATTCTCCTCTCTGTATACCTACAACACTTTGCTTTTTGAGTTTAGTTAATGGAAATATGCTCGTATATGTGTGTATGGGAATACTCCAGGACGTATAGGACACCGCCTTTGGGGTTTCGTTCATTGGTAGTGTCAAGGTACTCACTCCTATACACGTCCACAGAAATACTTCGGTATATCTAGGACACTGTTTTCTCAGCTCCTCAGTACAAGCAGATTTTGTTTCTCCCTGCCTCCCTGTGTTAAGAAGGTGGTCTCTTCACCTCCTTGCTGCCTTTTTTTTTTTTTTTTTTTTTTTTTTTT